TCGCATACATAGCTGAAATTTCTGAAGTTAGTATTTTCGTTCTCTAGGCATATTGGGATAACGATAGAAGTGGTCATATTCTCGGAAACTGAAATTATTATTTTCTGAAAATCGCATTTCCATTCTATCTCGCAATTTTTTTTTTTGAAAACCGAATCTTGCGAAGCCTACCAATATCGCGTTAGGCATATTCGGAGGTTGCTATATCCTCAGAAACTGGATTTCGTTCTTTTCTGAAAATCGCATCTTTACTCCATTTCGCAAAGTTTTTTTTTTCAAGATCGCAGTTTGTAAAAGCCAAAACTTTGCGGCACCTAGCCTAGATCTCATTCATAATACTCTTCTGACATATCCTACTCATCATAAATCGACAGATGTATACAAAAAAAAAAAAAGGAAGTAGTCCTCTTTTTATTTTTTATTTTTTATTTTATCTGTTGATTAGGGCCGGAGGAAAGTATTGTTGGGTTGGTTGCCTACCTTCCTTTTCCTTCCCACCCACCCCTTGCATGCATCCCGGTTCGGTACAGTGCCACGTCAGCAGCGCCACGTCACAGTGCCAGATCAGCAGTGCCACGTCACAGTGCCAGGTCACAGTGCCACGTCAGCAGTGCCACGTCACAGTGCCAGATCAGCAGTGCCACGTCAGCAGTGCCAGGTCACAGTGCCACGTCAGCAGTGACGTTAGACACTTTGCCACGTAAGCAGTGCCTTGTCGCGGTTTGCTTTGTACTTGGCTTGTCGTAGCCGCTCCAAAACGGTGTGTAGGTGCTCCACATGCTCGTCCAAACTCCAACTATACACCAAGATGTCGTCGAGGTAGATGAGTACCAACCGATCCAGCATGTGTCGGAACTCCGTTGTCATAGCCGCTTGGAAAGTGGTTGGGGCATTCGTAAGGCCAAACGACATGACCAGCCATTCGAAATGCCCATACCGTGTCTTGAACGCGGTCTTGTAGCGATCCTCCTTGCGAATCTCGAGTTGGTGGTACCCTGACTTGGGATCCAGCTAAGAGAAAAACTGGGCGCCGCCCAATCGCTCGAGAAGGTCATTGATGTGTGGGAGAGGGTCGGCGTTCCTGATCGTCTGCGCGTTGAGCTTGCGATAATCGATGCACAACCGCAGGTCCTTGTTCTTCTTCCGGACGAAGAGAACAGGAGCACCGTATGACGATGAGCTAGGCCGAATCCAGCCTTTCTCTCGAAGGTCGTCGAGTTGTGTGCGGAACACACTTAACTCTTCCTCGCTCATTCGGTAGATGCAATCGAGCGGAGGTACGGCCCCGTCCTCTAGGATGATCTAATGGCGGATGGGTCGATCCGGTAGTACCCCGTGCGGGCCTTCGAACACGTCGCTGTAGGCGTCGAGAAGTTCGGTGATGCATGGATCCGAAGGTGAGTCCGCTGATGAAGCGTCATGGGGCGGGAGGGCGTGGAGAAAACACACCCTCATCTCCTCGATGTCGTCTCTGATGGTGGAAGCTCGCATGCTTGCGGTGGATACCACGTGGCAGCTGATCGAAGGATGAGGAAAAGGCACCTTGCATGGAACTAGTACTCCGTTCCGATCACGAATGTGAACGGTGCGGTGGAAGAAGTTCACCGGGTGATCCTCACTTCGCAGCCATGACATGCCCAAGATCATGTCAAATTTGGTGTCCAGAATGTCAAAGGACACCGCCTCACTTGCGTAAGGGGCAAAGTACATTGGGACGTTGTCAATGCACCGGTCGATTGACTTGTGCGTGTGACCGTCCGCCGACGTGACTTGCGTAGGCTGGGACTTCCTCCGGACGAGTGGGCCAAGGCCGGCGCGCACCATGAAGTCTTGGCTGATGTAGTTGCGAGACGCTCCGCAATCGATCAAGGCACAGCAGGTCGCCTTTCCAATCTGAATGCGTACGTATAGCAATGGTGCGTCGATGTCGTCGTACCGTTGCGTCTTGAACTCGCGGTCGATCTTCGCGATGTAAGCGTGAAGGTCGACAACCTCTACTCCGGCGTCCATCAACGGAGCTGGTACTGCAGTGTGCAAGAAGTCCCGCAGTTGTGCCATGAGCACATTGCAATGCGGTTTCGACAATTGTCCGGTCGAGGGAACGGGCATCCATTGGAAGTCCGTGAACGTCAACGGATCGAGCTCATCAAGTCTTGACCATGACGTCGAATCCCCGGCGATAGGTTGCGGCGAAGCTGCCGAATCGGTTGCCGATGGTGATGAAACCATGCATGCGGTGGATTGTTGCACGTGGAGCGGTTGGTCCAGCAGTGGAACCAAGTAGGCAGCATAATCCTCGTAAGTATACCAAGGACTTGCGACATTCGCATCCTCCCCAGATTTGCAGGAGGCCGCTAGAGGCGGCGGAATCTGGTGGAGTAGAAGGTGGAGTCGCCTCACCTTCCGCGGAGCTCAGTTTCCCGAGCTGAGGCGGGGTCGCACATCCTCCTTGCCCTGATCTTGGCACAGAGAGGTCTTGTGCTTGGTGCTGTTGCACCAGTAGCAGCTGCCCTAGCAGTCGCGGACCTTGTACTGTGCCTTAGTCAAGCCAAACTTGACCTATGAAACTTGTACTGGCTGTCCATTTCCGGCCTGCGATGCGGATTTCGCCTTCCCATTGTTGCGGGACTTGTTGCTGCTTCGCGGCTGGACAACAGCCACCTGATCTTCGTCACTTGATGCTGGAGTGGCTGCTGGGTTATCTCCACTGTCCTGCTGGACTGCAGCAAAGTGCTGCTGTGGCGGACCAGTTCGTACCTTCTCCACATAGGTCGGCTGCCATGTTGACTTCTCGTGTGCAGCTGATCTGTTGGTCTTGATGATCTCCCTCGCCTTGTCAATGATTTCAGCGAAGGCTGAGTACTGCTCGCGATCACCAAGAGCCTCGCTCAATGCCGCACAGGATCTGTTGTAGAACTCACGTCTGAGATGAGTGAAAGGCAGGTCCAGATTGGGCACTGCCGCAATCTTCAACCACTCTGTGAGCCAGTCCCGTGTTGCAGTGTTGCCCTGTGACATGGTGAACAAACGGTTGATGGCGAGTGCCGACGCGTCGTCGACGATGAACCGCTTCTTCCACAGCCGTGTCAGTTCCTCCCATGTGATTTTGTCCTTCAAGTCTGGTACGTCGACGGCGTGGGAGGTTGCCAGGTGGCTCAACCAGGTCTGGCATCCGCCCTTTGAGTTCAGGAACAGGGCGCCGATGTACGCATGCTTGGCTACGGGCAGAATCCTGAGTTGCGTTGTGAATGCTTCCCACCAAAGGATCGGATCCTGTTGCGTGTAGTCGTCGAACCTCTCCAGATTGAAGGTTGGCATCTTATACATCTTCGGGTTGCCATCCGCGTTCGTCGTCTGCAGCTGCTGGACCTCGGTCTTCAATGTATGCAGCTGACTGCAGATGGTGGTGGTCGGCGCAGCGAAAGTGCTGATGTCGTCGAGCATTGCCACTACATGGTCAACGCGGTCCTCCAGTTGGCGGCTAGAGGGTGCACTGCTGGAAGCCCCAACAACTGGTCTTGGTACAGCCTGTTCCAGGTCCAGCAATCGAGCATTGAGTGCCCGAGTTGCATCCTCGTGGCTCTGCACCATGCGGCGGAGCTTTGCCAACTCCTGATGTTGTTGTGTCAGGTCCTGGTACTGTCTCTCCAACTCTGACCGTTGGTAGTTGCAAGCGTACAACAACCTTGTCACGAGTTTGGAGAGGAACTCCTTGTGTTTCTCTTCCGGTGTTACCTCGTCGCCGTTCGGTTCGAAATGCCAGAACTTGAGTCTATCGATGTTGTTGGCTTCATGCCGTTGTTCCTCAGCCTCTATCTGAGTCTGGAACCGCTGCTTGTAGGTTGCAAGGGACTCGTTGGGCAGTTGGCCTGGCAGGCCCGTCATGTTGTTGACGTGGTACTGCTGACGTGGCACTTTGTCTGATGTGGCACTGTGTCTGACGTGACACTGCTGATGTGGCACTGCTTACGTGGCACTGTGTCTGACGTGAGCCCACCAACACCACGGACGTTCGTTCATTCATGGGATTGGCGGGCTACTATCAGCGATTCATCACCGGATACTCCAGGATTGCTGGACCTATGACGAGGTTACAGTCGCCAAAGGTGCCATTCGTATTCGATGACGACGCACGCCTGTCATTCCAAACACTTAAGACGGCTGTACTCATGGCACCCGTCCTTAGCATCTATGACCCCACCCTGCCGACGCGGGTGACTACGGACGCTTCCGGCTATGGCATTGGGGCAGTCTTGGAACACCACGACGGCGACGACTGGCACCCTGTGGAGTATTTCAGCCACAAAGTGCCTCCCATCAACTCGCTTGATGATGCAAGGAAGAAGGACCTGCTCGCATTCGTGATGGCTCTCAAGTGCTGACGGCACTTCCTCCTTGGGCATCGTAGGTTCACATGGGTCACAAACAACAATCCATTGACCTACTATAAGACGCAGGACACGGTGAGCAGCACGATCGGACGATGGATGTACTTCATCGACCAATTTGACTTCACACCGAAACATGTCCCCAGCCTCTCCAATCGCGCAGCAGATGCACTCTCGCGAAGACCTGATCTTTGCGCTATGACACATCACGCCTTCGCATTTGACGAGGAGCTTCAGCGACACTTCATCCGGGCATATTAGTCTGATTCGGACTTCGGCACGCTCTATGCACAGTTATCTTCAGATCACCCGCCGGCCAGCCATTACCGCATTGTCGACGGGTACTTGCTTCTCCACTCGAGAGGCAAGGAGTTACTATGTGTCCCATGCAACCGTTGTCTTCGGACTCGCCTCCTCGACGAGTATCATGATTCACAACTCGCCGGCCATTTCGGAGTCAACCGCACTATTGCACGGCTTCGACAGCGATTCCGATAGCCCGACCTCATTACCGATGTCACTCGGTATTGCGACTCTTGCAAAGTTTGCCGACGCAGCAAGCCCCCCAACTGCAATCCCTACGGCGAGTTACACCCGATGCCTATCCCACAGGAACCCGGTCTCTCCATTGCCATGGTCGTCACCGGTCCGTTTCCTCGCAACCGGCTCGGGCATGACGGCATCCTCACGGTTGTGGACCGATTGAGTAAGGACGCACATTTTCTCTCTTGCAAGTACTACTCCACGRCTCCCGAGCTGGCACGCCTCCTGCACACTGGTTCGATTTGTGGCCACAGTGTACTATAAGACATTGTCAGCGACCGCGACACTCGTTTCATGTCGGCGTTTTGGACTACTCTCATGCAGGAGTCCGACACAACAATGAAACCAAGTTCGCCTCGACATGCTCAGACAGACGGGCAGACGGAGCGGGCACATAAAACCGCTCAAATGATGCTTCGTACGCTCATCCATTCGGACCAGAAAGATTGGGTTGACCGCCTCCCCGACATCGAGTTCGCCTACAACAGTTCGGTGCATCCGGCGTTCGACGTGACTCCATTCGAGTTGCACCACGGTGGATGGAAAGGCCGGATCGTCGTCGACCTTCTCCTCCCTCGACCAGCCGACATTGACGTTGCCTGTTCTCCCGCTTCCGTCCGGAAGTACAGGGAATTGCTGACTCAAGCCCGCACAAATATGCAAAAGGCTCAAGTCCGCATGCAGCAGCAAGCCAACAGGCGTCGCGTACCATGTCCCATCTGCGCCGGTGATCTGGTTTGGGTCTCCGCGGAAGAGTTTACACTAGAATAGGATGTTTCACGCAAACTGCTTCCCAACTGGTTTGGACCTTGGTCTGTGACAGCAGCCGCGGGCGATGAGCCCGATGGCCCTTCATTTGTGATCAACATTCCAGAGCATCTGACGGTCCATCCGGTCTTCCACGCCTCGAAGCTGGCAACATACACGCCAGCCAAGAGCGACGACTTTCCGGACCGACGATCGCAGGAACCTCCTTCTATGGATGGCCATCAGGAAGTTGACCGCGCCATCTCCGATCGCAAGTACGGCAGCAAGCCGCGGCAGTACAAAGTCACATTCAAAGCATGCGATCGCGATGACACTCGGTGGATTTCAGGCGCAAATTTGAAAGCATCCGCACCGCTGATCTACGCGCATTATGAAAAGCGGAGGTTAGCTCAGGAAGCTTCACGACCAGCCCCTCCCACCCGGACTGTGGTTTTCTCAGACAGACAGCTTCGCCCTCGCAGGTAAGCTTAATTCTTCAAGGAGGGGGGGGTGTGGCATACTGCGTAGCCACACGGGCCCTGCAGGGCCCGTCCCGGACATTCAGCCTAAAAGCCTAAAACTTAGGGCTTACAGGCCCCGTTCGTTTCAGCCTGAAAGCTGAAAAACGAGGGTCTGCAGGCCCTACCCCGTTTCAGCCTATTTCTGGGTCTTTTCAGACCCAGAGTTTTCAGCCTGAAACGGAGGGCCATTTTCAGGCCCTCATTGTTTCGACCTGCCCCTAAGACTCAGGCACGTAAACAGGGATGCGGAACAGGCCAGAAATAGCCTGTTCCTCACGAGTTTGAGCAGGAGCTGCAGCTGCAGCCCCTGCCTCCCTTCGGCAGGCTCAGGAGGCACACCCGGTAGTACATAGGAAGTTCCCATGCACTTCACGGGTAGGTAGTGGTCAGTAGGACGAGTAGTCTTCAGGATTCGGCCGCAGCACTCAGGAGGAGCGTTGCAGTTGTCTTCAGCGCTAGGTAGGTATTAGCGCTAGCTGTAGTCTTCGGCGCTGGGCGCCCATAGCCTTAGAGGTAGTCTTCAGCGCTGGGCGCTATGATAGGTGGTAGATCGTAGAGTGGGAGAGAGAGACTGGCGGAGGCCAGTGGTACTTACCTGTGGCGCCATCGCTCCAGCTCCATCTTCGTGGTACCTGCATCAAGACGCCAACTTCACAGGTTAGTACCGGACACTAGAGAGAGAGTTTTTCTTCTTCCTCTTCTAAGTCCACCTTCTCTTCTCACCCTCTCGCCACCCGACTCCTCAGACTACGACAGAGAGAGACAGAGTTGTGACTTGAGACTTGACGACATTGGATCCAGACTTGACATTTGGGATTCAAACATTTCGACGAGGGACTATTTGGGCTTGTGCCGAAGACTTGATGTTGACGACATTCCCATCTTCCCCCTCCTCTTCGTCTATCCCCTTCCTCTTCGTCTGTGTATGGTATAGGCTGGTGCAGTCTTCCTGTGGGTATCTAATTCTTCCGTTGTGCTATCTTATACTTTGTATTGAAAGGTCGGTTCTTGTTCTGGTCTGCACGTTACAATATGCAACATCCACCCTTGCTGAGTCAGCGGTACCAGTCCCAGTCAGTCCTAGTCCAGTCAAGCAGGTACCGTATGGGACTGTGTGCACCACAGGCATGGGAAAGGGGCATACCAACGAGTTACAGAAGTATAAGTCAAGGTCGTAGCTGCTACAATATTCGAAAGGCCAGGACTTCAGACTTCCAGAAGGTCCCAGTAGCGGCCTTTCGAAGTTGGCTCACCGCTAGACAGAGGCAAGTGGGCAAGTGGTGAAGTCCACCCTTGCTGAGCCAGCGGTACCAGTCCCAGTCAGTCCTAGTCCAGTAAAGCAAGTACTGTATGGGACTGTGTGCACCACGGGTATGGGAAAGGGGCATACGAACGAGTTACAGAAGTATAAATCAAGAGGCAGCCCCCAGCCATTCATTCATTCCTGCGTAAGCCATGCGGAAGCGCTGCTACAACGACTTGTGCGAGGTGGTCTGCAGTGTGCCCGAAGACGAAGTGGGCGAGAAGGAGAGTTTAGCCATAGCGGTAGATGTAGTAGCGGCCATAGCCGCCATAGTTAGAAGAAGAGTGTAGCGTGTGTGTGTGTGTGTGTGTGTGTGTACAGTGTGTCGCGTGTGGGGTATCCAGCCTGAGGGTGATCCTAGGTTGAGTGTGTGTGAACACCAGAATAGGGCACAATGACGAACAGAGAGATGTACAGGCGCTGACGCGCCATAGCCATCTGAAGCGAGCTTGTACCTGAACTGTGTTCTGGGGTACCATATCTCTGAGCTTGAGTGGGCGCTTGTCGCCGGTTTGCTGTGTGACCTGTTTACATGCATGTGAAGCGTGAAAGAAAGTGAGTCTGATTGCACGCACGGCCTCGAACCGTCACCCTCAGCCTCACGAACGAAGTCTCATATTAACCACTACAACCCTTGGAGGTGTTAAAATTAGTGTTAAAATTACTCAATCCACACCGGTCATTATATCCAGCCCACCTCCAGGGCTGTAGCATCCTTGAACTCACACCACACACACAACACCACACCACGGTGCCGGATCCTTTTTTTTTTTTTTTTTTTTTT